AGGTGAGCCCTCAGCAACCCCACGGTTATCGGAGTACCCCCTCCGTCAGTCGGCAGTCCAGGGCACTGTGTGTCCGAGTGGATCGCAACGCGATTTTGCGAATCCCACTCCACCACACACTTACTAGTCTAACAAGGTACAGTTGCGTCAAGCTCTTACTTTTCTACCCGAACTGTGTGGATGGCTTAACAGCGTTGTGTAGGGCCTCTTTCTGCTGTCTACTCGAGCGCTTTATTCCTCATTACACTATAATTGTGTACAGTCCTAGAGGTGGCCGACCTTCACGATTCGCCACCACCACCAGGTCTTCGGGCTGCTCTTGTGCTACTACGTTGACAGCATGCATGGGTCGCAGTTGTGCCTGCAGTTTGGAGCGCCTCCGACAACCTTATCCGGGGCCATTAATGCAGCCGAAATGGCATTATCACGGGCTTTAGCTGGTTTTGCTCCTGCACGGATCACCTGGCCCTCATTAACTCGTCAGAAAGCTCTGTCTAAACTTATATCTATGCGGCAGCCTCTGGTATCTTTCACATGGGGGGTCCTAGACGGAAAAAAATTATCGGGTATGTATGTTCATTGTTCTTTGGGTTTCCAACACTAAGAGATATCGTTCTTTCTTAAACAGATTCAACGGCCCTCCAATACAGACATACAAAACGCTCATTATAACGGTTGGCTACACGACGTCTTTGTGACTGGGATTCTGTGCTTCTCTGCGGATGGCCTCATCGTATGGGCTAAGCAAATCTGCCCGGGTAGCTGGAACGACGGGGGCATGAGTCTAGAGTTTCAACGGCGACTCATGGATCCTCAGCTTAACCCTGATTTTCTTTTCGGCGTGGTTGCTGAAAGCGCCTTCCCGTGCGCTGATGAGATGACCGGGCGAATTTTAACGCCTCTGAAGGAAGGCGATCTGAACCGGTTGCTCCTTTCAGTTCGAGAGGTGGCAAAGTTGCTGTCGGCTGCTATTATTTCAATCCACCAAGCTGCGGAGTGGGGAATGGGATCGATTGAGAAGGTATATCATCGCTTGCTCTTACCTCTTCCCTACAACCAAGATCTTCGACAACGCAGACTCGATAATCTATTTCGGCTAGCAAATTATCGAGTTCGAAGTGTAGGCATCAGTGAGATGCGGACGGCTTTTATGTATGGCCCCGAAGATCGTCAGTTCGAATGCGAACCATGAGTATTATGTAGTTATGTTTCTGGTGTTTGTTTCGAATCTACTCGTTCTTGTTAATCAGGGATGAAAACAACAACATCAATTGATCGTGGCGTTGTCGCGCCTTAGATCTCTCTTGATCAAGCTGCTTATCAAAGCGACGCCGACTTTCTTCCAATTCCTCCTTTCGAGCTTCTCTTTCTGCTTCTTCCATTCTGGTTTTTGACTCCCCAAGGCTTAGTCTGTGTGCCTCCGTGATCTTCTGGTCCTTGAATCTGCAGCCGCAACCTCATCTCGACGGATTGGATCTCTTTCTAATCAATCTTCCTTTTCAGTGTCCCTGCGCTCCTGTCGTTCATCGCGTCGTAGTTTGTCTTCTTGTTCTGCTCGTCTGTCAACCTGCTTCTGAAAACAAAATGCTAGCATCTGCAGCAGATCGGATCCTGCGGCTTCTTGAGTTGCGGACACTCTGGCCACGTTCATTTCCAGGGTTTCTATCCGTTTTCTCGCGTTCACCCTCTTGTTGGTCGTATACGCAGCCGCGTTAGTAGAGTCTGGAGGGGGTCGCTTTTCAGCAGCAGGTGTTAATCGCC